GGGGTGGGGGGGACAGGGCAGAGGACGCCTTGGCACAGAGCCGAACGCTGCGTCCCAGGGCTTGCAGGGAGGCTGGGCAGGACGGGGCACACGCCAAGCACTGCCCCCGCAGTCGCTGCCCACAACACGGCGCTGACCCTGGCACAGCTTTGCCAGGGACTTGCAGGGGGGGCGAAGACCAGCACCAGTGCCGAGAAGGTGACAGGGTCAGACCCTGTGGGTGCTTGGTGCGATGCCAGGTGCTCCCCAGCCTGTACCCCAGGAAGGTGCTGGGCAGGCAGGTGGGTGCCCAAGAGCCCCCCCAGCCCCTGTTCTGCTCCAGGGAGGATGCAGGGGCACAGGGCCACAGTGATGGGCCAACAACCACTGCAAGACACGGGAGCTTGGCCCCTGCACTGAGCAGGTGAGCCCCAAGCCCAGCCCTGAGAGCAGCAGGACAAGGGGCAGCGTGGGGGTGAGCTTGGCCCCAAACCCAGTGCTGTTGCTTGGCAGGGCAAATTCCTGCCCAGCGGGATGGGGCAAAGGCCCTGCCATGGTCCACTGCTCCCTGAACCACTGTCCCCAACCCCAGCAAGCAGCGCAGAGCCAAAAGGGGCAGTGGCTGCTGGAGCCCCTCTGGGCTGGCCCCATCCCCAGCCATGCCTGGGGGCTTTGCGTGTGCATCAAGCCCAAACATGCCTGGGAACACATGAGCTTCGTTGGCTTAACCTCCTGCTCACGGCCAAGCTCAGCCCCATGGCTGACTGGTGTCTGGGAGCCCGGGTGCGGGGAAGGGGGTGCAGGACAGGCTGTGCCTCCCCAGAGCCTGCCAAGCCCCCCCAAGGGTCATGCACCCACATTTGTGAGCAAGGGGGAAGGGGGACGCACCCTGGGCCATTCCTCCATGCAGGTTTGGCTACACCATTTTGTTCTCCAGCCAAAGCCCGGCAGTGATGCCAAGCCAACACTAAAAATCCTGCTTTGGAAATGCGCTTTTCAGCAAAAAGGTGATGTGCCAACAACGTCTCAGCCCCACTCTCCACCTGTCCCTGGAGGCTGCTGGGTGCCAGCGAAGCCCGCAGGGAGTGGGGAGGTGGCAGTGGGAGCCCTGGCCAGGCTGGAGGAGGGGAAGGCTGCCCGTGGCTGCCTGCGGGCATGGCTGATGGCACACAGACACCAAAGAAAGCAGCCCAGGTGCTGGGAACACCCACACACCCGCTTTAATCCTGGCCCCAAGGTGACTGGAGGCAGCTCAGAGCAGGGGGATGCGGGAGGGTTCCCAGAGGCGCCGGGCCAAGTCGCAGGCTTGCTGGACCACGAGCTCGGAGGGAATGATGCCCAGGTGCACAGTCAGCAGCTCGTAGCACTTCACCACCTCTGCCTGGTGGTTCTTGCTGTAGTAACGCAGCAGTTTCCTAGGAAGTAGAAGACAGGGGGCTCAGCAGGTGCAGCACAGCCTGGCACCCCCTTTCTGACCACCTTCCCTCTAGCACCAGGCTGGAAAGATGGGCTGTTGCAACCGCAGTGACACCGCAGTGCTGGTACCACCCTGCGGCGATGTCCTGGCGAGGACAGTGTCACTCGTGGGGACCCCTGTCCCAGCACAGCCCCAGGCCCTTGGTGCCAAACCACAGGGCTGGGGACCGCTCACCTGTAGTAGTCTCCTGCCAGCATCCCGATGGGAGCAGAATCATCAGAGAGAACTGGCACCTCCATCACCTCCAGCTTGTAGCCCTGGGGAGAGATGACAGCAGAGGGCAGGAGCACAGAGGGGACCACCAAGGAGCCAGAGCCAGGTGGTGCCTACAGCCCCGCTCCTTGCCCCCAGAAGGTGCCAGGGGAGAGGGCCTCAGCCCCTTCCTCGCCCCACGTACCAGCTCGTTCTCAAACCAGAGGAAGTACGAGCAGCAGTAGTCCCCATCC